GGAGAGTAGAGGAAACAAGAGGAGAGAAGAGGAAACAAGAGGAGAGTAGAGGAAACAAGAGGAGAGTAGAGGAAACAAGAGAGGAGAAAATCATGAGGGGAAAAAGACAGTATAGGAAACAAGAGGAGAGGAAACAAGAGCAGAGGGGAGGATATGAGAGGAGACAAGAGAGGAGGAGAGAGGAGACCAATAGGGAAAACAGCAGATGATAACCAGAAAGGAGACAGGAAAAGATAAGAGGAGATTGGGGGGGGGGGGGGGGGGGGGAGGAGCCGAGGAGACCATGAGGAAAAAAGAAAGGAGAGGAATCAAGAAAAGGAACAGGCGAGAGGAGAGGAGGGAAAGGAGGAGGGAAAGGAGGAAGGAAAGGAGGAAGGAGAGGAGGAGAATATTGTAACAGAGACTGTTAACTCACAGTGACTGAATGCTGTTGATGGACGACCTGCGAGAGAGTGCATCTCGATTTTGCTTTACAAAACTGTACATGCAGAACAAAAAAACAAAGGAAAAGAATGAGGCACGAATGTGAAGGGGACGAGTGGACGTCCGTACGTCTGCGCGTCCGCCCGTCCCCTCCTCAGTAAACCACTGATCTGTGCAACTACAGCAGGAACACAACACAAGCAGATACATCTTCATAAGAACAAAAACTGAAAGACAGCCATTCAGGAGTTTCATCACAAAACAAAAACATAACGAAGTGAAATGTTTTAAAAAGTCAAAACATGTGAGTTTTAAATTACATTTAGATCGAAAGGTTGTTTACTTGGTGAAAGTTGGAAGTGATTTTGTCATGAAACCCTGAATTTCTCTCAAAAAGCACAGAGAATTCACACAAACAGTTAATTACATGTTCAATATACAAATTAAAATATTCCAAGAACACTGTCACAATAATGTGCAGGTCACATGACGACAGTGATGATGGTGAGAGAGGTCGACTGTCCGCAGAGCGACAGTTCTGAGAGGAGGACGGCAATCAAGGAACAAAACCAACACTTTCAATTAACACACGTCCGCGTGAAGATCACGTGACCAAATGTACTGACTGTAAATAAAGATGGACGACATGACAGCTCCCCGAAAGTGAAGCCAAAGCATCTCGACCGCCCCCCCCCGGTGGCTGGCTGCAGTATAGGTTACAGGATTATTTAAGAAGTTGTAATTTATCGTCGACTCATGTACCGTGTTGTATTCTTGTGTGTGTGACATACACCAGCGAAATTCCCATTAACGCCTGCAGCATTGGACAATAACGTTTTCGATTCAGGGTCTCTGCTCCATGTTGGCTGATTGGACATACAGAAACGTGAAAAACGACAACGGAAATGTTTTTAGGGGACCTGGAGTTATTAAAAGTCGGCTTCTCGTCAGCGGTGATCTTCACAAAGCGTTGAACATCAGCCAGGTGCATCACTTCTTCCGGTCCCCTGGAAACATTTCCTTTTTCCCGTTTCTGTATTTGCATGTGTTGCGACTTTTGTTTTTCTTAATTTGCAGTTTTCACGTCACATAATCTTTTTCCTCAAAGATGTTTTCTGTCATTTTAAGTCTCATCTACAGGAGAAGGATTGAAGCTTCCGTCCATAACCTGTGTTGGTTTGGTCTGTATTTGTTCAGGTCTGGTCAGCGGGAGATGTGTCGTCCGTCTTTATTTACAGTCTAAGGTCCCATCGCTGTTTTTGTTCCGCTTGAACTCATTTAAACTCCAGTATTGCAGCTATAAATCAAGACGCTCCAGTTTTCGCTCCAACTTTCTCTTGACAGACTCTGATAATTCCAGTGTTCATCAAGGCTCTAAAAATAGGTTAAATTTGGTGGAGCAGTTAATTACCTCGTTGACACAAGACCCCAGAGCTGCCAATCACAGGCCGGCGGCGGAGAAGGGGGGCAGGTCAAAAGTTTTAGCGTGACAGCGTTAATAAAGACGTCCCCATCATTATCGTATCTGACAGAGAAGATTAGGGTTTTTCTCTTGTTCTTCTGTTTTGTTCGATAGCTCTCATCTTCTAGACTTTCAAAATGAGTCCAGGGGCTAAAAGAATAAATAAATACACGTCTAATGTTACTGATGATTATATTTATTTAGAAATAGGCTGGTATCTATAATGGCTTCAAATTAAAAGGCCTCTGCAGTCTGTTCAAGCCCAGCGCGCAGCGTTTTCCTTCCCTGTAAAACATTTCCGACTTAAACGAAGCATTGTTGATCGAAGCTTCCTTAATTGCCTCTCGGAGCGACGGAGGTAAACGGTGGAGTGTCGTAAACAACAAAATGGCACAGGAGCGCTTTCTGTGGGAGTGGATGAGGAGAACAGATCAACACAGGACGTAAAACCAGGACGTGAGAGACTGAGAGGGACCACACACACACACACACACACACACACACACAGATGCAGACACACACACATATGGGACATTCATCTCCGGTGTGTGGCTGAAGCTGCCGTCAGAGGAGAGACTCTCTGAAACTTACGCAGCGATGGAGATGTTGGCTGCCGACATCGGGCTGACCTCCTTCACCTCCAGAGCTTTCTGCAGGGCGAGCTTCTTATTGGCCGCCTCCTCCTGCTCCTCTTCATCCTGAAACCAGTCACAACCGGGACATTAATGGCTTCCAGGAGCCGCTTCGACATTTGCGTCGCTGTCTGTTATCAATTGTCTTCGAATACACAGTTTCGACCGAGCCCACCTTCGTCAGCTCCTGCGCGTTGGCGAGGTTGTCGACGGCGATGGCCAAGAAGACGTTCAGGAGGGTGTCTGAATGACGAGAGGACTCAGGAGAAAATACACGTGGACAATGATGTATTGTGTGATTAAACAGCAGGAGCAGGGATTACTGGTGTCAGTCTGTCAGTGTCAGGCCAATATTTGTTCTTGCAGTTCAGGATCCAAATTAATTTAATGTCTCTCGTAATCAAAGATTTGTCCAGACCCGTGAGGGACCACGGAGTGCAGTTGAAAAAAGAGGATACAGTTTCCAAACAGTGTGAGGACGATGAAGTAGACGGAGGAGAACATGCCGCGCCGAACGCCTCCCTGAGACTCGATCCCGTGGTACATGACGGCGTTCCAGTCCTCGCCGGTCAGAATCTGAGGAAGAAAACCAAACAGGTCTCACAGAGCGTAGAATTCATTTATTTTACAGAGTGAAGGGTTATGAGCTCCGACTAATTGAAGGATTATCAACAAGCTCGTTATGGGACCAAAGGAGCACGGACCAGTCATTTCACTTAATTAAGAATGAAAACACTCTTTTCTGGAAAGTCTACAGTCTCTGATTTATTGTTTGAGTATGAATCTACCGACTGTGACTCAGCAGGAGTGACTCTTACCTGGAACACAGTGAGGATGGCGGCTGGGAACGTATCAAAGTTTGTTGTCGGCGTCTCCTCTTCAAAGTTAAACCTTTTAAAAAGAATCAGAACAAGAACAACATTTCAAAAAGGAGGAAAAACAACAAATATATTTAAAAAACGTTGTCACAGTCTGATTTAAATCCAGCTGCAGTTGAAGAGAGGATTTAAAACCTTCACTAAATGTGACCCTTTACATTGAAGCTATGTGATTACATGTGAATTTAATATGTAATAGAAATACATAAAGTCAGTGTCAGAGTGTAGTTTTGACACAAATAAATAAATAAATAAAATAATCACAATACAGTTGATATTCTACAGCACAAATGAGAACGCTGCAGATTTCAACCCGCAAATTAAGGCTTCATATCAGATACTAGAAAATGTGAGTCCACGTTCTTTTGGCCATGTGGTGAATCTGTGAAAATCCAATAGGAGCTAATGACATCAGGCTGTAGTATCCACTGTACATGCATGAGGGAGATGGGGGAGGGAGTGAGGGATGGAGGGAGGGAGGAGCAACTAATTCAATAAGGCTTTTCTCCCTCGGTGTGTCATCATATTCTCTCCTTCTCCCTCTGTCCTTCTCTGTCTCGTTACTGCATCCCTCCATCATCCACCCTGCAGAACTCACACCCCCCCCCCCCCCCCCCCCCCCCC